ATATACTATTTGTTTTCAATAAAATTGAAGCTATGAATAATTTAATCAACGATTAGTTCTCAATAATTCGAATTCTTAAGTCCACTTTATTAAATATTATGATTCGTACACTTGTGGATATAAAATCAACAACAATGATACTGCCTTCTTATTGCAAAATCTCAATGCAAAAATCTGAAATGTAAGAAAAAAAATATAAAAATTTGAATTTTCTAGCAAACGTTCAATGACAAAATGCAGGTTGGCTCACACGCGACAATTTATGCAAGTCGTTCGCTTGCTCGGCTCACACACTAAGAAGAAGAAGATACTTTATTTTGAAATTTTTATTTTAAATTATTTTTCTTTCTTTCAATTGCTTTTAAGTGAGAAAATATCTTATGTCAATTTTGCTCTTCTTAACTTTAATTTCAGTTAAACTTTAATTAACTGATGTTTGAACAAAAACCGCCTATAGGTTATTCAGTTGCTTATTTTTCCAAACATTAGGGGCTGCACTGCCAGATATGAAGGTTCAAGATCCATTTGCAATTTTTGAAAATGTTAGAATCCCAACTGTTATTTTCTCTTAAAATTTAATATAGATCCATTAAATTATTTTTCTTTCAATTTTGTAACTAAATTATAGTCTTGCAGGTATTGCATGTTATTACGTGTTTAAAATTAATTTTTGAAGTGCTGAAATTTCTTAGTAAAAAAATAATTTTGTTTTGACAAATGAAACAATCAAAACTAGTTCACGAAGTGAATAAGCCTATGTTGGGTTTCATTAAATTAATGAAAAAAAATAATAATTCTCACAAAATGTGTGAATAATAAGTAGATAATATTTGTGAATGCATTATTAAAATTAAAGACTCCTCAATTATGGGCAAAATTGAACTATCCCATTTCCAATAAGCTAAGCTTTGAATAGTGCTTATGGCTCATCTGTGCAAGAAAGCGCGAAATAATGTAACATGATGTGCCATGACCCATGAATATGATGTAACAAAGAGATTTTGGGGGTGACAAAAATGTTAGCTTCTTCAGGACATGTATATTATCAAAGTTTATATCCAAGATTAATTTGAATAAAAAAGTGAAATATAGGGAAAAGTTACAATCATGTTTATTTTTATTAAGTTGCTGACGAATATATTCATTAATTCTGCATACCTATTCTCCACTTAATTTTCACTAATTTTGCCTCAGCACATTTAGAAGAGTACAAAAGTATTTCCAATTAGAGGGACTTGAAAACAAATCTTTAAAACATGATATTGCAGTCTACTCCTTTCAATTTTAGGGTGTGTTTCAGCCCCATTTTGCGAAAGGATAGATTCTATAGGAGTGATTTTTTTGAGACGGTGTGATTACAAATAGAAAAAAAATTGAGTTTACGTCTAAAGTTATTTTATTAAAAGAATGTGTAGTTAAAAATAAATTTAAAAAAATATATACATTTTTGTATAATGAGACTCAAACAGAGGCTTAATCTTATCCAGCTCAATATGTGAAACATGTTACAAAGTGTTTTTGTTACATGATATATTCTCTCCGTCTAATAAAGATAGGATTGATTTTGTTTTTTGTATGTTCCAAATTATAAGCAACTTTCTTTGTTGAGAGGATAATTGATTTCTTAACTTTCTAATATGTCGTTACTTAATGTGTCTTGTTAACAACAAATATGAACAACTCATATTTAAACTATTATTTAATGTACGAGTATATTAGAAAAAATGTAAGTAAAATTTATATTTTCAAGTTCCAACTATATGAATTACATTTACATTTTCTTTATGGTTATGATAATGGAAGCAGGCCCATCTCTACGGGACGAAATGAGTATAAAATACATAATACGTAATATTCTCTCCGTTTCATAAATATATGCTTATTTTTATTTTCACTTGGATTAAAAAAAATGTAATTAGTACAATTGAAAATATTAATATTACTTACATTTATTCTAATGTTTAGTACATTAAGGGCGTGTTCGGTAGAGATTAAAATCGGATTAAAATTGAAAAATTAGTCTTTGTTGTTGACTTTTATTAAACGAGTGGGACCCAATAACGCTTATATTTTCAATTTTAATTGATTTTTAATCTTTACCAAACAAACACTAAATCATAATTTAAATAAGATTAATTCATATTTGTTAATAACAATGCATATTAAATATCGACATATTAGAAAACAAAAAAATTAGCTATACTCTCAATAAGAAAAGTGACCCATAATATAGGAAGAACGAAAAATGAAAGCGAGTATATTTTTATGGGACAGACAGAGTACTTATGTATGCAGTTAGCTCTCCAATTATTGTTAATTGGGTCAATTGTATTTATCCCTCGCTTCCCACTAGGTGCCTGGAAATTATTATATTAAGACTAGGAAATGATAGTCAATTTTGAGCATCACATGCATGTTGGTCCAAATTTCAAGTGTGAACATGTTGATATGTTAGTCTAAATATGAACATTGGTGAAAGAAGTACAAAATTTCTTACTTACCCCTCTCTGTTTGTCGCTTCCATCAAATTGTGGCTGTGGCTCTCTTAGCTAAAGGATTAGATTGCACTCAGTTTGACGCATTCATGGAATCTATAGAGAGTTTAGCTGTCATCAACCAAAAGTTAAAATCACAATAAATAAATAATATAATTGATGCCATTAATAAATAAAGGTCCAAAGTGAACCATTGTTTTTTTTTTTTTTAATCAAGAATTTAAATATAAAAGTAGTTATCACATCTCGAGATTAACGTAGTAAAATATTTCTTATTTGTGACATTTACCGAACCTTAAAAATTAATGTTTTCTAGTGATAAATCAACATATTAAAATAAAAAATTCATTAAAAAATTCTATTGAAAGTTATTCGTTTCAAATTTATTAATAATGTTCTTGTGATTTCAATGATCTTTGGCCCCTTTGGAGCAGTGTGGTAGTAGTACATGACAAGAAATAGTATGACAGTCCCCTCACATCAGAGTAGGGCCCACGATGTTAAAAATCACGGGTCTCACCCACAATGTGAGGGGGACTATCAACTTGAATGTACACAAAAATGTGTACACTCAGGTTAATTCACATGACAATTTGGACGGATCATTCTTTCGCCCTTTGCAATCATAATATAAGAAATTTAATTCTTATAGAATTTTATCTAAAAAGTAATTATTTTCTAGTAAGATATATAAGCCCTTTTTTTGGTTCTCGTTATTTTTAAAATATATTTTTCTCTATCTTATTTTTAATCGCACATTCTTCTAAAAAGTAATTATTTTCTAGTAATTATATTCAGATGTTTTTTATAGTTTGTTTTTAAACTTTTTTAATTGATCGTTTAAATTCTTTTTTGATATATACTAGTGAGTGAACTATTTGTCCTCCCTTGAAAGTCAGTTGGAAGTCATATGCCATATAATGTTAGAAATGGATGGAAACTAGGGATAGATAAGGTTCGATTTGGATTTTTTATTGAACTATTTTCACATTAAATCGTTTTAAATAATTTGAAAAAATTCAAAATCAAATAAAGTCAACCCAAACCATTTTATTTTTAAGACCAAACCAAATCAAACTATTTTTGCATTTTGTTTTGGTTTCAAATCACTGTTTTACCTAGATAAAAACAACATATTTCAAACAAGTAACATTTGAAACCTAAATTATATGAACTCAAACTGATTCCAAAAAAATCGCGGTTCGATCCAATTTTGTCTGGTTGACGATTTTTTTTCATTCCTAAAGACATCTCCAATTGTACACTAAATTGATGCTTCATTTGGTAAATTTTTAGAGTTTTTCATAATTTTTATTTTGCCCTTCATTTTATACTACAACAAATTTTAATTCCTATTATATCATTTTATTATTAATAATTTATTTTATTTTATATTTATTTAATTTAGTTATTATTTTTAATTAACATTTATAATAAATTGGAATCAATAACTAAATAATAACTATTGAATGCATTAAAATAAAACTACCCATTAAAATTCAAAAGTTACAAATTCGATAATTAGAAATTAAGAAAAAAATTAGAATTATAACAACATAAATATTGTAAACAAAAATGCAATTAGCATACAAATATATATTTTTTAATTGTGGTAAAGTTTAATATTTTTTTAATTTATTAATAAATTCAATATTTTCATTGATTAATATAATTTTAAATTTAGCTCCCACCTTGACGTGGATTACAATATTTATTAAAGTTTAAATCAAAGTTAAAAATTAATTTTAATCATATATTTCTTGAATCCACAATTTTTAAACAATATATTTTATCGACTTTTGTCAAAATTTATTAAAATTCCAACTTTTAGCTACACCGGACAGGGGCTTAATAATTTTAATAGTGATATAAATTAAAGTTAAGTAATTTTTAAGATAAATTAATTATTGAGAAATATAAAAATAAAGAAAATACTATTCATTTGGTACATGTGTTATTGATGAAAATTACAATTTACACTATTTAAAGTCAATGGAGATGTTAACGGTACATAACCTCTTACATCGAGATGTCCATAATGGACCTCCGGTGCCTCTTCATTGCAGAGAGAACCTCCAACAGATATTTTACTAACAGATGATGTTGCGAAATTTTAAAATAAAAGTTAATGGACAATGCTACATTTACATCAATGATTATATAATGTTTTATATAATGTCACATAACATTTTATTATTTGTCAATTTAAAATACAATTAAATTTTTTCATCCAATATTTTCGTTCCACGTTATTTCTCGATCACTGTTTTTGTCAATAGCAAAATCCAAAGTTGATTAAAAAAACTGGTGTTCAGACAAGCCTGTGGGTGCAATTAAAGCTGTACATCATTTTGGACCGAGTGCATTCTATATTATTCCCATTTTGACCATGTGTACCTTTGTATATTACGTGTTTGCCCCTATCATGGTAATATATGTATCAGAGTTGCACTGAAAATTTCTCATCTTTCATCAGACTCTGTCTAACGACGTCGCAAAACAACCATGTGGGCTTCGGTGTCAAGCTGCTTAACACCAACTGTTCTCTTCTGCATCTTGAACCTCACCATTGTTACCATTTTCATCACTTCAACCCTTAAAAAACAGCATAAATTCACTGATGACCAAGACAACTCGCCACCGCAACTCATCCGAGTTCCATCACTTTTAGAACGAGTCAAGTCCATCAACCTCTCTTTCTACAGCTCCGGACAGCCCGACCCGTTTGACTCCGCCGCCCATCACACCACTGCCCCACCCCCACGTCAAGAATCAACACATCAACAAAAGTCTGAATGTGTGGAAGAGAGTCATGTGACTAGGAGCAGGTCTGAGACGTGCGTGCAAGCTCCGACGAAAAGAGTGTTGAAGAAGTCGCTGAGTGAGTGTGTGTATGTGGTTGAGCCGGAGGAAGAGGTGGATTCGCGGCGACCGGCGACAGTAAAGGAAACGACGTCGACTGCTCGGGCGGAGGACGAGGCTGTGGATGAAAAAGCTGATGATTTCATTAACAGGTTTAGGCAACAGTTGAAATTACAGAGATTGGACTCCATTTTGAGGTACAGGGAAATGCTGAATAGAGGTCTGAGGAGCTGAAGCATATTATTTTGGGACAGATATACCCTTCCTTGCTGGTATTTCTTTATGCAAATTGTATGGGCTGTTTAGTCATTCAATGCTGAAGCTCATTACTGAAATGAATTCTTCTTCTTCTTCTTTTATGGTTGTGTTTTTACTATTTTTGTTATTTGACCCCAAACAACTTTTCAACCATTATTTCACCCCGACCACGCCGCCGCCGCCGCCACCAAGACTTCCGTATCCAAAACAAAATGAAATTATGAGTTTTTGTAGAAGAGAATGAAGTTCCTCTGTTCACCTCATCAAATTGGACCTATAGGAAACAAAATCCAAGGATCACACTCTGTTATTCCATTGTCATAAGAAGATCAATGCTATTACTAGAGAAAACAAAGATTTAACGTAATTCTCCACAAAAAATAATTAGTACCCTCTGTCCATAAAGATATGATTGAATTTTTTTTTTTTTTCAATTCTAAATTATAGGTCATTTTCCTTTAAAGTATAAATAATTTTTAGTTTTATATTATATCCCTAATTAATGTACCTTTTATCCATAAATATAAACTAATCATATTTAAATTATTATCAATTATATTACATTTTTTTAATATATGTGAAAATAGAAACAAAGCTATATTTATGGTATGGAGGTAATATGAAAATTGAAACATTCAATCTAATTCTGGAAAGTTGAGGGCGAAAAGTGAAAAATTTTCTTTTAAAATATTATCTTGTTAAAATAAGTAAGATATTTAGTATTTTCATTTTTTTTAAAATAAAAATATTTTTATTTAAAATTTTACTTACTTATATATAAGCAAGCTTAACAAAAAATACATTAAGGGCAACATTTTCCATGGAACATTTTCCAATTTTCGTAGCGTTTCACTTTTTCTCACATGTGCACATTTTTTACATTTTTGTTGAAACTATTTTCCCACCTTTTGGGTGGGTTTTCATTTTTCAGGTTTTTTTTTTTAAATTTTGTAATAGGAAAAAATTTTAGATCCAATGATAAAAAAAATAATCACTTTCATTAACAATTTCCATACAAAACAAAGTCAAACGAATGATATTCGATATAGTAATTTTTTTAAATTTGTTTGGCAAGTTAAACAAATTCTAGACCCAATGATAAAATAAATTATTATTTTAATGGAAAATTTTCATGAAAAATTCATGAAAAACAAAGTCAAACGGACACCAAACTTTCAATATTTTCCAGGTGGAAAATTAATCAATCAAACACAATTAATTATAATTCTCAATAAAACAATTTTCAGGCAATTTAATTCTCTAGAATTTATTTTTTTTTTCACTCATTTTCAACATTTGCAATCAAATAGACCCAAAAAGGAATTATAATTGCTTTGAATTCTGGACAAAAGTTCGGTGGTTCATGTTTCATCCTTGTAGAAGTGTCGGTCTTTGGAAGTATTTTTTTATATTAAAACATCTATAAAAAATCTTGCACGTGATATAAAATTTTGTACTTTATAGAAGGCTTAAAAAGCAGCCTAGCCCACATATTAATAGGAATCCAAGGAAATTGATGATGCTAAAAAATAATAAATTGTTTAAATTTTTTATAATTCTTCAAAAACTTAATAGACTCCTTTTCTGACTCATATAAATGATCTCTCGAATAATAATAATGAGATAGAAAGTGGATAATGTTGACCTCAAAAAATGAAAATTATTTTGTAATTTAACAATAAAACTTTTTAAATGAATTTCGATAGGATTTTCTCTTTTTTAAGGAATTTGGATGTGTTTATTGTCTACACGAAAAGAGAGTAATTTCACTTGTACATCCAGTGATGTAAATAAGGGGTTACACCCCCCTCACAGGGGAGGGGGAGGGGGGGTGGGACCCGCCTGAATAATAAATACACCCCGATATACCGCTAGCATCACCGATGAAAAGAAGAAGATGCAGATTTCGGTAGTATTTTGATCAATAAAAGCTTTTCACTAGGAGATAGTGTTTCAATTTCCTGAAGGTTCAATCCCGAATGCACTTTATTCAAGATGAATTTTATAGTTGAAGGTTGGATAAATAAGGGGATTTTTAGCCCTTTTTTTATTGTGCAATGACCTTATTTATAGGTGTTTTTTGAAACATTTTAATCCTTTTTTTTTTTGAACTAGCATTCCTTATTATTAAGTTGAAAGTTATAATTAGGTTTCATTTTAAAGGCTAATGTTGGGTTCAAATAAGTCAAGTCCTTTCAGTCGGTTCGCTCAGGTGCCTTCCCTTATTTTCCCTAACGTTCAAAGTTGTTCTGATTTGAGATGAGAAAGGAACACAGGTCGACGCCATGAATGAACAAGAAATTGACAGTTCTCCCTTAGTTACTAAGAATAAGCTGGCTCAAGATCAATCGTTATAAAGTTAAAATGTAGCCTCCAACCATTCTTGGCTCCCTGTTACCGGGGATTGGTTTCACCCGGATGGTTGCTTAGACAACTCCAAACATGAGATACTGTAAACAGGTTATTAGGTAACTTACGTTCGTACCTATATCACGTGACTTTAAGTTCAACTAAGATGATATTAAGCGTTATATCAAGGTTAGATATAGATCTTTAGTCATGTTAAGGATCAAGTCCTAATCATATTTCTAGCCAAGTGTTTCTAATCTGCATGCTCCGCTGCTTTGGGAAACCTCGATGGTCTAGACATATTGCGCTTTACTAGAGCATCGACGATGGAGACACATGCTCAAAAATATGTGTACATACAATTTGGTCCTTTTGTAAACAACGTGGAATACACATGAGAATTATTGCAGTATGTAATAAATTCATCCTTAATCATGCAAAGTATGCATTAGTATCATGCTTGGTAAAGTTTTCTTCTAAATTTTCAATTCGTCAAATTTTATTTTCAACTACACATTTCAATAAACTCAAAGGTAGTATCCATTTTTCAACAACAAATCTTATATGATACATCAATTTAAAAACTCCAAAAGTTTTATCAAGCACGTGCTCATTGGTTCAGCCAAAATTTTGGGCAAAAAATAGGTGATTTAATAATATAAAAAGACAAACTATGCAAATAGTACTAAAGATTGGGGACTGAAAGATCGGTGTTAAAAGTTAGGTGAATTTGCTATAGATATTAAAGGTTAAGATAAACTTTACAGTTTTTCCACAAAAATATTGTGAGTAAAATTAATAGTTTAGGAATCATAGGACTCACCACTTCTAATTTATATAGAGGAAAAAAAAAAAAACACTTAATTGAGTGACGATAATGGACAATTTTTTTTTTTATAATTGTTTTTTATATTATTCTTAGATTCCTGTTTGATAATTGTTTGTGTGGTGATTAATTGAACCGTCAAATGTGAATGTTATACGTAGATCGTGTTTGATGTAGATTAAATTTACATATTTAGCATCTTTTGATAAACGTTAATAAAATGTATGATTGAAAGTTGTGTGTTCCATAAAATATATGGTAAAAATTAATTGTTGATTTTGACTTAAATTTTTTTATCAATTTTTAATTTATACCAAATATGAGGTTAGCAATTTCCTCCTTTTTCATTAAAAAAAGAAAAGATGGACAATTGAAGCATGCAGTTATTATATCTAAGGATGGGCAAAACTCTCAGATTGAGCCAAAGCAAAGTGAATTGAACCGAATCGAACCAAGTCGTTCTAATTGATTCTTCTTAGGTTAAATATTCGAATGGGTACTAAAATCGAGAACTAACGGATTTGGTTCGATTCTCAATTCTAGACCATAACCTGAATAAGAATTTAATCTATCTATTTTTTTTATATTGAATAAGCCACATAATTTTAATTTTTTTTCTAATTTTTCCTAACACTGGATATTTTACAAGAGTTGAGATTAAATATATCATTACTTGAATTAAAATAGTGATGTTGTAAATATTTTAAAAGTGATAGTTACGTAATTTGACCCTAGTAATACCTAGAGGGGAGTGAATATGTATATTATATGGAATTAAAAAGTATTTTACGAATCAAACAGTAACAAGTTATTTTTTAATTCTTCTCTAGATGATTAAACATGTAAGTCATTTTTGTCCTAAATTTGAATACCGCGGTTTATATGATCAAACAATAAACAATAATGAAAGCAGTAATCAACGTTAGGATGATCACGGAGAAACCCAACTGGGAAAAACTCCGACCACTTTTGTCAGTCAACAATCCACTATAAACGATTTGAACTACTTACAGTTTATCAGACTCGACGACCCGCACTATCTGATCACTCGACTGCACTCCCTACAGCTCTCTCTGGATCCCGTGCTCTCTTGCATCAATCTTTAGCTGCTGTTGCCAAAACTCTTCGTGGAATCTGTTACCCAGCAGCACTCCTAACATTGTGAAATTGTCTATTTTTCGTGGATCATCGAAGAACACTACGTTTTTCACAGACTGGAACTCCAGTCAAACCTCGATTTTCAGAACTCTGACTAAATGTAGAGGAAATATAGTTTGATATTTGGATTATAGAAACGATATTTTTCTTAACAAAACAATCGAAGTAGATGAAAGTTGAAAGAAGGAATCAAATGAATCTCTCATAGATGTAGCTCTCTCAATGTTCAATCTCATCAATTTTTGTACAAAAGTGTTTTGGTATATGTAAGTAGGTTAAAAAAATGAATGGGTCAGGGAAAAAGCCTTTAAATCGTGAAATAAAATTTTTTCAGATAAACTCGTCCCTCGAGCGAGAGCTCAACAATAGTCGAGCAACAGACTGTCGCTCGAGGAAAGTAGGGACGACAATTCAGCGATGATATTTCTGGTTTTGTAGCTCGAGCCAAAGCTTGGCGACAGTCTAGCGAAAATCTACTTCGTTTTCCTCTTTTGCCATTCTTGAACCTTAAACCTAATAACCCTATTTTCAACTATTTTTGTACATTACTCATTGACTTTTTAAATATAGTACAATTTAGTCCTTTTGTTTACAGAATCGTCAATTATAAAACATCGAAAACCTAACAAAAAATATTAATTAT